AACTTACTAACACGTTTAATTCAGCAGCTTTATTCAGATAAATAAACCTTTTTCTTTACATGAATAAACAGATTTGTTGTGTCTCTTTGCAGCAGTGAAGGATCGACCCGAACCTGAGACAACGAGTGACACCAGACTGAGAGGAGATCCTCAGAGAAGGATCGGCTTCTACTGTGCACTGGGACTCACAGCAGCTCTACTGGTTCTTTATTTATTTTATTGCTGCATCACAAAAAAGATATTTTCACTTGTTAAAGCAAAATACAGCCTCACGCTGCCCCCTGATGGCTAAAGGGTGGAATTCACTTTCAATACAAACTTTACGGATCTCAGTTCTTTACACAAGTTATTATATTTCTATTAAATACAGTGTTCACTTTAAACTATATTTTTTGGCAAAACACATTAAGACACACGTGTAAACACATGGTGGGCGTCACAAATACACTATTTTCTAATTCATTATTGAACTTAATGCGATTAATTGCTATTGTTTTGTGCGATTTAAGCAAGAAGATCCCCCCTAGTGGTGGAAATTATAATACGTGTAATAGTGTTTAGTGTTGAGGTCGGCGCGTGCTTCTGCGTCTGCGTCGAACGTGAGACTCCGTAAAGGACGCAGTTAGCGGACCAATCGCAGCCTGGTGCGCTGCGAATAATGTCCCGACACACGCAAAGACGCGAGGAGGTGTGAAAAGCGACGCAAGGGACACGCAAGGGGGTCTTGCGTCTGCGTCACTCTGAAAACGCAGAAGCATAAACTAGGCTTAAGAATTGTAGTTTATTAGTTATTATGTTAGATGAAGTGAATGCAATATGAATCAAACACAATGTAAAGTCATGTTAATCATATAAACACACATTAACAGTCTGTCACAATGTGATGTTAAAACCTGGGGACTGAAGCTAATTTCCGTCCGTTATGGATTTCTCCCAATTTTATCCCCAAAGAGGGTTTTTTGGGAGTTTTTTCTCCTGTCAGGTAGTTAATGAACAACTGAATACAAGACAGCCGAGTGAGGCAAATGTCTGAGTGTTGGACCACATGAACTGTCTTAGATCTTATGATGAAGTTTGAATGCACTTATTGTACGTCACTTTGGATAAAAGCGTCCGCTAAATGACATGTAATGTGATGTAATGTGATGAACTGTGATCATTAATGATGTGTTATAATTAAGGTGTACTAGTTATAAGATGAAGACTTAAACTATTTATGCTTTGTTATATTCACTCATTGAGGCATAAAACCAACTGTATCTACACTGAATGTGTTGGAATGTGAGGGACAGATGGACAGATAGAGGTTCAGGTTACAGCTGCAGCTTCACACATCGACGTGAAGGGGACAGTCCAGTAGGAGACACTTTGAAGGAGAAGCCAATGACGTTCAAATGCACCCAAGAAGACACCTCAGGAGTCTTCAAAGGACCAAAGCGGGGAAACGACTGTTACAATTCTCCTGCAGCCGCTTTGATAAGGCACTTTAGACTTGACTCAGAGAATTCTATATTTCGCGAAATATTCCACTGTTTTTCACTTTGTAACTGTATTCCTTATCACTTTGTTTAGTCATTAAATACTTTTTGATTTTTAAATTTGAGCAAGTTGACTCTTTTGATTCTTCGTTTCCGGCCGGGACGAGAACAAAGGAGTGAGGCCTCCTTCGAGGGCTTTCCCAACCCGCAACGCTATTAAATGCAGAACAATCGTGATTAATCAAGTTCAATTTTTCCATCTCTCCTAGTACAAATACATACCATATCATATTTGTACAAAATACATTATACTAATACATTTTTAATATATTGTGCCTGGAATGAAGTATTACCTGTTTAATCACTATGAAATCAGTCTCTTCATTTGTCGTATTAATTCAATAAGTCGCATAGTGATCAAATCCATCCTCAATAATACAAACGTGTCACATGAAGGTAAATGTTAAGAGAGAAGCAGATTAAATACACACAGCATACAAGGTACACACACTTCTCAGCATTCTGTCTATACAGTGAACACTCTTTTATTTCATAATGTGATCACTGAAGAGGTTGTTAATGCTGCTACATGTGGTGATTATTAGTGACCATTGAAAAGTCCTGAGGAGAGTTCTCTAAAGTGAGAGAAATAAGCTGTAGGCTGACTTCTGAGCGGACCGACGGCCTGCTGGCCGGGTCCTCTCGTCTCATCGTCTCTCGGGTGAAACCACAAGAACCACTCAGGTTCAAAACAAAAGTGTATCAAGCAGCGAAATCCAGATGAGGTGATTTATGAAATGCGAGTGTGTAAAGTGTGAAACATGTTGGACTGTTGTTCCAGACGCTCGTCCTCCTGTTCAGTAGTCAAGATCATCAGCGTTCACCCTGTTGCCTCGTCTAAGTCAGGAGGGCCGTACTTTAGGCCTCTGTGAGTACATGAATATGTGGTAGAACACCTGTGAACACGCGTGTGCGTGTACTCCAGTGCTGTGGAGTCAGTTTACGCTGTGAATAAACAATGAGGACATGTGAAGGACCGACGTTATGAGGCATGATGGGACATATCTAGCAGCTTGGGGACCAATGGGTGTCCATCAGGGAGAAGATGTTCAACTAGAAGACGATACCTGTTCCATCCACCAGGGGGCGTCACGTGATCACACTACTAACTACTGATAACAACCAGGTTCTCTGCATCTGCACCGCTGCAGTAGTTCCCACACGTTTTATGTCAGGGCCCCTTTGAGGAAACAGACTCATTGCAAACCTGCCCCCCACCCCCCGAAAAATAGGGACGCTCCTTTGTAAAGCGAGGTATTTATTGGCAGCACATTTCAACATCAAGCCAATTCAAAGCTCTTCACATAAAACCATTACAAATAAATTCGTCAATGATGCGTTGCGCTGTGGCTCATGGAGTGAGATGCAGCAGCTTCTTCTGTATGAGTAGTTCACTGGTGCGTTCAGGGACCTCGGTCTGCAGATGTGCGCGCAGGGAGGAATGCTGATGATGGAGGAACAGCTGAGGTATGCGGGAGGACGAGACTTCAAGGTTGCAAAGTGGTGACATTGATTCCCACCATCAAACGTCTGGTCGGCGCGTGCTTCTGCGTCTGCGTCTGCGTCGTTGCGTCGACGCACTCGTTTCACTTCACGGTTCTGCGTGTGTTGCAGAGCGTTTATCCTGCAGCTCTGGGACCTCGACACCTTCATACAGATGAAACATGACTGATGGTCTCTTATCTGCTAACATCTCAGTGCACCCTCCGCCCACATGTAGCAATCTCCGCCCACATGTAGCAATCCCCGCCCACATGTAGCAATCTCCGCCCACATGTGCACTCTCCGCCCAGTGGGGCACCCTCAGATGTAATTTCTGCGCGTCCAGAAGGTCCTACGTGTTCAGGCTCTGCACACCCTTCAGCGCACAGAGTGACAAATAACCACCAAGGGGTCCGGAAGTATTATTTTATTATTTACTTTAAAGCTGTAAATGTGTTTAAACGTCACAGACTGAGGAGTTTACTTGTTGAAGAGCTTCAGTTCACATCACTCAAGACGTCCAAGGTAAAGAGAGAATGACTCAATGTTTGTGTGATTATATTAACATTTATTATGTGACGATTCATGGATTACACAAAATATTTAAGGTTTTACCCAGTGAGCACAAGACGTAATTTCAACGTTGAAATATGGTTGAAATCGGGTTGAAATGAGGTCTGAACGTCTATAGACTTCATAAGGCTAAAAATGGGATGAAACATCAACGTGCCAGAAAACGTCAATTTGTTGATAAATGTGTCATGCTGTAACGTAAGGTTGAAAGATAGACGATATTAACGTTAAGATTTTCATAATAATTAATGAACTGGTCGGCGAAATTTGGTCTACGCGAAGACGTAATTTCAACGTATTTAATATTTCACTTAAAACGTCATAAATATGAAACTACGGACTGCGGGCTGTTAATAAGATGCGTTTAAGACATAATAATGCGGGCAGGTTCAAACATTACTTGTAAACACGTAACTTCGCTCACATCTGTAACGCGCATGCGCGAGTAGTAGCTCTCCTGCATGTAGGCCGGGTGGTCTGAACGTCTGAACGCAGAAGCGTAAATCAGGCTTGACACAACCGTTTCGTGTTGCCGTCTCCTCCTCCTCCGCCTCCTCCTCCTCCTCCTCCTCCGGAAGGGTGCGCTCATACTCAGCAGTCGTTCGTAGCTTGATAGAGAGAAACACAACCGACCAGTTGTCCAGAAGTGTTATTCTATTCTCATATGTGTAAATGTGTTAGAGGGGAACTCACTGACTGAGCAGTTTACTCGTTTAAGAGCTTCACAAGATTCAAGACGTCCAAGGTAAGAAGAGCACGACGTATCCTTGTGATTATATTAACATGTTTAGACTATTGCTTGTTCATTAAAGATAATTAACTACAAAAATGTCAAATGTATTGATGTCAAATCGGATAATAACCTGATCCATCGAGAAAGAAACAGCTGAATTGTTTAGTGCAGTGGTCCCCACGTCGGACCTTCTCGACCGGTCCGCGAAATATTGTCCGACGTGAAAACGGTCCGTGAGGTAGAAAAGGTTGGACACACGATCACCCTGCACAGTCGTCCTGCGTCGGGTTGGGCTGGTCCGGGCTGATAGGGGGGTTACTAGCGGTCGCCGGCCGGCACGCGCACACTGGTCGGATGCGTCACAACAACCGGGAGTTTTTTTTTCATACAGCACGCGATCAGCTCCAGCTCCTTCGCCAGCCTCCCTCGCCGGATCTCTCCTACTTAAAAGGTAGAACACACACTGATTATCATCAATCAATTATGCCCCCCGGCACCGTCCCCGGAACCACTCCCTTCTCCGTCCCCTCTGCAGCCGAGCCAAACCACGGCCGCCACCACATACCCCCACCGCCCGACGTAGGCCGGGGAGCCGTCCGGCCCACGTTATGGGATGAACTATAAGGAATGTCACCCACATTAATGTTGAGTAGCAGCGTGTCCTTAAACAACACGATCACCCTGCACAGTCATCCTCCGTCGGGTTGGGCCGGTCCGGGCCGGTCCGGGCTGACTGGGGGTTCCGCGGCCGGCACGTGCACACTGGTCGGATGCGACACAACCACCGGGAGTTTTTCGCGCGTCATTACTTAGGAGGCTGTGTTTGGAAAACGGAACTGGAGCTGTCACGGTCGGGACAAATGCCAAAAATGCCCATAATTCGGGATGTAATACGGGACAGTCGGCAACCCGGCATCATGAAGCGGAGAGGCTCACGGGACTGCCACTTACTTCAATTGAGCGCGATGTTCGCCAGTCTTTGGACATGGAGGACATTGTGATTGCCTTTGCACAAAACAAGGCTCGCAAACAGCAGTTTTAGATAATTTGCACATGTTTGTGAGAACTGAAAAATGTTAATGTGAGTGTATATGTGTTGTGATGTCACGAGAGGCGCCGCCGCTCTCTCCGGGGTAGTTCAAATAGTGCGAGGACACCGGGTTCAAAATGTAAACAAAGGTTTTAATTTCCGTCTTTTAGGTTCAACAGAAAACAGTCAAAACAGGCGGTAACTCAGGCTTCGGTCAATCTTCTCCGGTAAAACTTAACTAAACGGAAATCCACTTCTTTAAAAGGAGAAAACACCGTCCTTCCGGTCTCTCCTGCCTCCGAGAGTCCTTCGGTCTTGGTCTGCTCTTCTCAGCTCGTCTCCCCCCTCAACGGCGTGTCAAAAACAACATTTACTTTAAAAAATCCTCGTAACAATTTGCACTCAAAATTTGAGTAAATTTTACTGCTGTGATATCCAGTAAAAGTTCCTTAATAGTATTAAGTAAAATCTACTTATTTCTGATGGTAACATTTGTGAAAATATTAGGTAAGTGTTACTTAGTTTAACTGATGTTTCAATTTTTATTACACACACAAATTAAGTACAATATACTATATTTTTTGTATACATATACAACATCAAAATATTGAGTAGATTTTATTTATCTTTGATATTTACTGTCGTAAAATTATCAAGTACTTTTTATCCTGTTTGATCATTTTAATTACTTGGTTGTTTGAAGTTATATTACCTAATTAATGTATGTAAATGTTGCAAATTCTCTTTTGATAAATATGACCAAATACTATTAATAATCACACGGCTAAAATACAATTAATTATTTATTCATATCAATCAAGCATCAATAAAGAAAAAATGTTTACCTTTACTGAGTGATCATTACGCTATACAGAAAAAAAAGCATATCACTGGAAAATCAAAATGTTTTTGACCCCTGGACGCATTAAACTAAACAGGGCACATCAGGTGACAAAACAGATTGAGGGTTTGACCTGACAAAATATGCTGTACTGACATGAACAACATTCTAAACCGCAACATCCATTAACATATTTATATTAGCATTCGGTTAAAACATTAAAGTTTGAGGACAACATCAAAGCCTCTGTTAAAACAAAGGTTATTTTTAACTTTTTCTTTACCTTGTGAGCATGCATGACAGCAGTTGCCTTTGTTGACAACATTAGGAACATTTAAGAAAGAAAACTCCTTTCAGACAGCAACTTCAACTTCAAAGATGTACTTTTGTTGACAGCTTTATCCCATTCAGTTCCAGGAAAAGTTTTTGAAACACCTCAAAAGGTGTAGCGCAGAGTCGAGGGGTAGGCAAGGTTCAGGGAATAAATCAGTCCCATTAGCAACGTGGAAGCTTTGGCTGTGCTGTTGCATCCTGTCAATACCTCCTTCCCTTCAAGAATGATGGAAACATCTACTGGTTCTTCTCCATCAGTACCATGGACAACCAGGATCTTGACTATGTGTTGAGTGGCATCACTGAGATTGTCCTCCTGCATGAAATTCACAAGAAAAAAGAAGACTATTTAGTTGACAACAATTCAAGAGTAGGAATACCAGCCTTCTATAGACTATTACAAGAAGTGTTGTAAAACGTATTTAAAAGTCATGCCTAAGTAAAAAAAATTAAATTTGGTGGTTAAATACTACTTGGTGCAAAAAAAATATATTAAAATCACCCATAGATATCGTACTCAAGAGACAAAAAATTATTTTAGAAAGAAAACGTGGTTTACCAGGCAATCTTCGAAAAGTTCCTCTTCTTTTTCACCAAGGAATAGTATGAGGCCACTGATAACTGCGTCACGTCACATGTCAGTGATTGGGTTCTGTGAAAGGAGTAATAGCATCAGTTGCAAACAATAATTTGTACACAATATACTATCATGTCAGAAGATACGAATACTTGCAAGGAGCAGTGGTTTGTTTCCATGTGTGGAAAGGAGAAGTATGTTAGAGAGTGAGAATTTGTGTTGTCTAGGACAGGGGCAGAATGTGTGTGAAACTGTGACACACAGTAGATCTGTCTTCCTGCAGAAGATACATCAAACATACCTGACTCAGTTTATCCAGATGGGGCCTCAGCCTGGTCCCCACAACACCTCCCTTGGCTTTCATCAGGGCAGTAAGCTTTGGTGTATAGTGGTCTAGTTTGTGCATGAAGCTTTGCTCTAGAGAAATTGTAGTTATTCTCCAAAACTCCTCCTTGATCTGTAGATCTGAACTGTAGAATGGATGAACAATAAAAACAGCAATATTGTGTCATGCATACATGCAGTGTATTTGTACTTGCCTAATCACAACGGTGCAGTATTTGATGAGTCACTGAACAGCCCAGCGCTCCTGACTCTCTGGTCACCTCATGTCCCAGCCGGCTAAATGCAAAAACAGTCGCCTGTGAATGAAAACACATATTTTTAAGGGCAACTTATAATTTATAGATTAATTTACAGCCATTTTCATGTTGTGTTTGTCTCTTGACCGTGGCACGCAGCTTAAACCATACACCGCAACGCAGCCGCCATGCTAAAAGTTGAGATGATGTTTCGAGGTGAAAGCACATAGACAATAACTAAAAAAACGAAAAACTTTGGCGTAGCGTTGTGTTATATTCGCACTACACGGGACAGTACATGAGACAAAATACAATAGCTCTGAATAAGATATAGTATCTCGCAAATTAACCGCGCGGCGTGCGACTCTGGTGGAATGAACTGGCTAATAACTAGCTAGCTAGCATCAAGCTACATCACACAAACCTTGGTGTAGACCGCTCGGTGTGCAGTCCATACAGTGCTTCAAACTAATCACCAAAACGCGTTTTAAACTGATAAGAAATTATTTTATGGATAAAGCTGTTACTTACCTGAGAGATTCCGGAGATATTCACAACTCTGTCTGCTGCCAACGAACGGACGGACACTGGACATCTGCGCGGTACTTTAGTTTGTCCCAATGCGCATGCGCTGATTCAAACGCACTCTAAAATAGTGTCGTAAAATTTACTCAGTATTTTAGTGTTTCTAGCAGAGACTAAAAAACATTTAAATGTTATGAAAACATCCATAATAAGACTTACTCCTTCCACACATCCATTTTAAATACATAAATAAATTGTGTACATACATGTAATTTTACATGACAAAAATCTAGTTCCCGCAGAAACGAAAAATTTAATTGTAGACATTAGGACAGTTTAATTAGTATTATTTTACTACACCACCAAGTTCGTTTTTTCAGTGCACCTTTATGAAGACCTCCCGGTCGTCACACCCTGATGGGTCTCAGGTGTCTTCCAAGACCCAGTCTCTCGTGACATCACACATCCCCCCCCCCCTCGAGGACGTCGGTGTGTCACGTCTGGAGAGTGCATCCGCGTTGCTGTGGCTCTTGCCCGCCCTGTGGACAACAGAAAAGTTAAAGGCTTGTAAGCTCAAGAACCACCTTGTAATCCTACGATTTGTTTCCTTGTTCTTGGCCATCCACTGCAGAGGGGCATGATCCGACACCACCGTAAACTGTCGGCCCAGGAGGTAGAACCGCAGGGATTTCAGGGCCCAGGTAACTGCGAGGCATTCCTTTTCCACTGTGGAATAGTTCTTGTCTCTTGAATGTAACTTCCTGCTTATGTAGAGGATTGGGTGTTCCTCCCCCTCACGTGTCTTCCACCTTTATGAAGGCCTCCCGGTCATCACACCCTGATGGGTCTCAGGTGTGAGGGGAATGCTCTGAGTTTCGGGGCACCAGCAGATGGAGCCATAGTAGTTACAGCCATCGCCGGTGAACGGTGATCTCCCTTCCAAGACCCAGCCTCTCGTGACATCACAGTGTGTGTGTGTTTTTAAGTATGTTGGATTTAGTTATTGTGTGCGGCGAGGGCTTGGGGGGGCCTCCATGTCCATTTTGCTTGGGGCCCCCAAATTCCTTCAAACGGCCCTGGGGACGAATCCATATAAAAGAAGCAGGGCCGACCGCGCATGCGCGAGGACCGTTCAGTGATTCTCACAATAGCAAAGTCATCCCAGGTTTTGACAAATGAATCTTAAACATTTAGTAAATAATCACTAAATGTAGCAGAATACCACTTCAAACAAATGAAATGACTAAAAACCACACAATACAAAAAACACAAGCAGGATGGCTGCTCCATCACTGTCACAGCAGAAAGACACAAGAAAATCAAACGAGAAAAGACCCGTAGTGACTTATTAACAAGTCTACCATATAACAGGTCAGAGGTCACAGTGGTCGTGTCTAATGTCTCAGGGACGTTGTCATCAGCATGAAAGCTTTGTGTGTTTGTAACAAGCATGATGAAGAACACAAAGAGCATCAGGATGTGAAGACACACTAGATTGTTGGTGTGATGATGATGTTTGAGCCTCTTCTCCTCTGTCTCCTCTCACAGGGAGGAGATGATCTGCAGCATCCTGGTGATCTTCATCCTGACCTCCTGTGTCTGTGGTCGGTTCACTTTTGTGTTTGTGAAGCAGCTGTGAAGCATCAGCACACACTCCTCAGAAACATCTGGAGATGGAGTCTAAAGGCTCCATGTTAAAGCTGTCACTTTGTCACCTCCTCCTCTCCTTCTCTGTCTCCTCAGCAGGGTCATTTGTAGTGAATGTGACACAGAGCTGGTATCATGCAGAGGAGAACCACAACATCTCACTGGAATGGATGTTCTCCACCAGCACGGACCCCTCCCCCAACGCCCTTCATGTCTCCTGTGAGATGTTACCTGATAAGATACCCGTAGTCGTGTTTCATCTATATGAAGGTGTCGAGGCCCCAGAGGATCAGGATAAACGCTTTGCAGGACGAGTCCAGTGGGACAAAGACGTCCTCAGAGAAGGACGACTCAGACTTCACATCTCCAGACTCCAGACTAATGACTCGGGGCTGTACTGGTGTCAAGTGCTCACAAGTTATGGGAAGAACTATAAGGAATGTCACCTCAATGTCACTGGTAGGTTCATTAAGATAAACTTACTAACACGTTTAATTCAGCAGCTTTATTCAGATAAATAAACCTTTTTCTTTACATGAATAAACAGATTTGTTGTGTCTCTTTGCAGCAGTGAAGGATCGACCCGAACCTGAGACAACGAGTGACACCAGTCTGAGAAGGATCGGCCTCTACTGGGCACTGGGACTGACAGCAGCTCTACTGGGATTTTTATTCATTCTATCGCTGCATTACCAAAAGGATTAGAGATCAGTACAACAAACGATACATCAGAAACACAATTCAAGTGATTGATCCTTTAAGGTTTCGCACAGAAACAGTCTGAGTTGTTCTGACTGAAGTCCAGCTGAGACACATCTGGATCTTTGGATGTCTCCTGTGTGTCTCATGTACCAACAGCAGCATGAAGGTATCAGTGAGTCTACAGAGACACGTGTGACTCAGGGAGCCCAGCTGGTGAACGCTGAGCCCTCGTTGTGTGTGTGAAGGTCAGTTAGTTTAGTTCCATCAGGACCAAACTGATTCACCCTCTGACATCACAGCATTAATGTAAGTCAATGGTGACATGAAGCGTCAGGGAGACTGTGGGTGTAGAGTCCAACCAGAGGATCAACGGTTCCATCCCTGCTGACCCGCGTGTTGATGAGCCCTTGAGCAAGACACTTAACCCAACATTGCTCCTGTAGCTGTGACCACAGAGTGAGAATGGAGTGAATATTAGTTACTGACGGCAGGAAGCTGCTCATCAGTGTGTGAGAGGATCAATGATCTTATATATTTATATATCATATATAAGACATAACTTGGAGGAATGGATGAAAAAGTGGACGTTAAACGTCATTTGTGTCATTGTGTAACTTCTCAACCTGCATCACTGAAAGTGTTTTTTATTTTGTTTTTTATTTTTTTTAAATCTGACTGACATTCAAAGGAAATCCACAATCTTTACAGACTGAAGTGTGACCAAACTGAAATATATATTTTTTCAATAAAGCATCTTAAAAACCCAAATCAGTGTCTTCATTTGTCGTATTAATGCAATAAGTCACATAGTGATCAAATCCATTCTCAATAATACAAACGTGTCACATGAAGGTAAATGTTAAGAGAGAAGCAGATTAAATACACACAGCATACAAGGTACACACACTTCTCAGCATTCTGTCTATGCAGTGAACACTCTTTTATTTCATAATGTGATCACTGAAGAGGTTGTTAATGCTGCTACATGTCGTGATTATTAGTGACCATTGAAAAGTCCTGAGGAGAGTTCTCTAAAGTGAGAGAAATAAGCTGTAGGCTGACTTCTGAGCGGACCGACGGCCTGCTGGCCGGGTCCTCTCGTCTCATCGTCTCTCGGGTGAAACCACAAGAACCACTCAGGTTCAAAACAAAAGTGTATCAAGCAGCGAAATCCAGATGAGGTGATTTATGAAATGCGAGTGTGTAAAGTGTGAAACATGTTGGACTGTTGTTCCAGACGCTCGTCCTCCTGTTCAGTAGTCGAGATCATCAGCGTTCACCCTGTTGCCTCGTCTAAGTCAGAAGGGCCGTACTTTAGGCCTCTGTGAGTACATGAATATGTGGTAGAACACCTGTGAAACACGCGTGTGCGTGTACTCCAGTGCTGTGGAGTCAGTTTACGCTGTGAATAAACAATGAGGACATGTGAAGGACAGACGTTATGAGGCATGATGGGACATATCTAGCAGCTTGGGACCAATGGGTGTCCATCAGGGAGAAGATGTTCAACTAGAAGACGATACCTGTTCCATCCACCAGGGGGCGCCACGTGATCACACTACTAACTACTGATAACAACCAGGTTCTCTGCATCTGCACCGCTGCAGTAGTTCCCACACGTTTTATGTCAGGGCCCCTTTGAGGAAACAGACTCATTGCAAACCTGCCCCCCACCCCCCGAAAAATAGGGACGCTCCTTTGTAAAGCGAGGTATTTATTGGCAGCACATTTCAACATCAAGCCAATTCAAAGCTCTTCACATAAGACAAAGACAAAGTCCTCAATGATGCGTTGCACTGTGGCGTTGGAGCTGTGGCTCAGATGGAGCAGAGGGCTGCTGTGGAGGAACACTTCTTCTGCAGGCAAAACCACAGCGTTTATTCCTGACAACTCTTTAATGTCAAAAGACCAATATTTGATGTTATGTTCATTGCTATAAACTTGACGATCAAACATTTGTCTTTTCGTTTTTTAACTATCAATATTTTGTTTTCTCTCACGATACTTCTTATATTGCGATATCTTGACCTGCAGTTTCATGAAGAAAAGTACTTCTGTGATGCGAGGCAAACAAGTGTTTACAAAAAGCCTTCAACATTTACAAACTATTCTATTTGCCAATTCAGTACAATTATATATTCTTTTTAATTTAAGGATTTTTCAAGGTAATTCTTCAAAATCTTCAGCATCTTACTGAAACAAAAAGAAGGCTCTTGTAGACAAACACTGGTCACCAACTTGCCAGGCCGAATCTTTATGGAGTCGTTCAGACTCCTCCAGGCAGAGAGAAACTCCTCTCACCTGTTTGTATGATGGAGAAGTTGCATCACAGACGTCACTGTTGATGTTTGCAGATCGGGTTCCACCCTCAACGCTCTCAGTGAGAGACGTGGTTCACCACATGGTCCATAAGTGAACCCTTATTCCATCTGAAGTAACAGCTCTTTGTCTTCTTTGTCTCCACCAGGCCCGTCTTCCTTCTTCCACTACAAAATAATATTAGTCTT